GGGAGTGCTGGCGGGGAAGTGTGCAACCGCTGCTGCGGTGCGAGGCCCGCGGCTGGAGCTGCAGTTACCGCTGGACGCAGTCCGGGGCTGCGGCGGGCGGAGGTTTGGCACGGGCTGCAGCTCTGACCTTCCCACACTGCTGTTTTTAGCCTCAGCGTTACTTTTCCCATAGTTGTAGTGGCCATAAATAGCTTTTTCTGTTCAGATATTTGTCTTTCTTACATGTTTTTTTTTTTTTTTTTTTTTTTTCTCCTGAGCGCAGAACCGGGGTAACATTTCAGTAGTTTCATTTATGTAAATATTTTTTTCTTCTGTTTGTTTGTTTTGGGACCCATTCATGGACAGCTATGAAATTTCTGTTGGTTTTTGATTTTGACCATACAATCGTAGATGAAAATAGCGACACCTGGATTGTGAGATGTGCCCCTGACAAAAAGCTTCCCAATGAGTTACGGAACTCCTACCGGCCAGGACACTGGACAGAATACATGGGCAGAGTCTTTGTCTACTTGGGGGACAGTGGCGTCCGAGAAGATGACATGAGAAGAACCATGACAACAATTCCTTTCACTGCGGGCATGGTCGATCTTCTGGAGTTTATTGGCAAGAACAAAGAGTTTTTCGACTGCATCATTGTTTCAGATTCTAACACAGTATTTATTGACTGGATTTTAAAAGCTGCTGATTTCCATGAGGTGTTTGATGAAGTGTTTACAAACCCAGCAGTGTTCAGCAGTACTGGCTACCTGACCGTGCAGAACTTTCATGCCCACCATTGTCCAAAGTGCCCTAAAAACCTTTGCAAAAGGACAGTTTTAAAAGAGTTTCTAGATAAACAGGTGGAGAGAGGAGTGAGTTATACGCAGATAACCTATATAGGTGATGGTGGGAATGACTTGTGCCCTGTGATGTTTCTGAAGAAGGGTGATGTTGCTATGCCCAGGCATGGGTATACCCTAGAGAAAAAGATTTCTCAGCTCTCTCGAGATTTCTGTCCCATAGAGTGTTCTGTTCTGGTTTGGTCATCTGCTGTTGAAATTATGTCTTATCTGAAGCTGCTTATAAAAGAACATTTGAAGTGATAAAAGGAAACTGATTTATCCTTTTTTCTTCCTGGGTGAGAAATGCTGAATGCACATGGAAACACAACATTATGGAACTGGGATATTAGCTGAACTTATGTTGTTCAAACATAATATAAAATTGTATTTTCAGTTTTGTCAGTAGTGGGAAAATGATGTTAAAATGGCTTTCAGGCGTTGTGTGCATTCTGACCTTTGTGGAGAAGTGTGCGTGTGAAGGGGAGGGGACTGCGTGAGGAATTGCCAATTCCTTTTGTCTTCTCCATCCTGAGCCTTTACCAGCAACCAAAGTGATGTTCCATGTGCTGTGGGAAAGGAGTAAGATTAGTGCACAAAAGAATAATTATTTTAAAGAATTTATATGCTTTACTTACCAGGAAGGTGATTCTAGAACTTCTGGCTTTGAATACTTTTTTTAAAACCGGGGATAAATGTTTAATTTGTAAATGATTTGGTATGTCTCTAATCCTGTTTGATCTGAAGATGCATTTATATTTTTAATATACTGAATATTTTACCAAACTAAATTCCTTTTTAATAGTTTGTATTAAAGACAATAAAAATTACAGTCACTGAGAAGAGCAGTGCCTGATTTTGTAAGGTATTCTGTAGTGCATTCCGTTCCTGTAAGGGCCTGGAGTGGCTTAACACAAATGTGGGTGTCAGTCTGCAGAATACCAGTCTTTTGGTCAGTTCTCTCTTGAAGCACAGGAGGAATGTTGTCACTTTGCATTGTTGCCACTCGGTACAGAGCCTGTGCTGTCAGCTGGGACTCAGCCTGCTGCTTTTTCTGCTGCCCACAGAATGCTGTGTGGGTCCCTACGCGTTCTTGTACCAGTTTCACTTATTCACTCTTGTCTATGTGCATCCTGTAATCCTCTTCTACAAGCTGAAAAGGAACATCTGTGTCTGTTTTAACTGTGTAACAAAATTTGCCTGTGTTTGAATAAGGAATCATTTGTGAGCATGTAGTGAGCATGTTTCTTGCTCGTGGTGAGACGAACCATAGGACTTGTACTATGCACACAGAGGCACTTCAGTCTCATTAAAGTTGAATGATCTGTCTTCATGCCAAATGTTTGCTTTCTGACAGTCTCCCCAGAGGTCCCAAGTTGTGCTAAAGTCTGTTATTGAACTGTTGTCTGTTTTAGCTTTTATATGCCTTAGCTTAGAATTCTGCCTAACCTGCAGTGGTATGGCTGCGAGTGTCAGATATGTGGCTCAGCAGCCTGCAGCTGATGTAGATGTCTTCTGCATTGTCTTTGGGTGTTGTTTTCATTTTCTTACTGGCATTTAATGTTGTTATTACTCACTTTTTTTTTTTTTTAAGTTGAGAGTTTTTAAGAATGGTTTCCCGTTTTAGGTCCAGTAATGTATAAATGAAGATTTTCTTCAAGTACTGCTTTGTAAATAGTCTGGCTTTTAGCTCTTCATCTGTTTTAACTAATTACAGAAGGTTGCTTTGAACAGTTTGTTGACTGAGGTGTCCCAGATGATACATACAGGTTCTCAGGAGCATGGCTTTAATGATGGGTAGTTGATAGCTGTCTGAGTTGTACTGGGGAGTTTGCCCTGTTGTGTTGTGCACGGGCACAGAGACAGCATCTCACTAACTGAAGGTTTCAAGCTGTTTGAGTTTGCTGATTTGTAGCCTGTACGAGAAATAGTGATAAACGTTGTGTGGTGTTGTGTGGTATTGCATGTTTTTTTGGTGTTTTTTTTTTTTTTCCCCTCCAAAGTCGTGCATCTCCTTCATTCTAGGTATGCTGCTAAGGGTTGCAGATATTGTGCTTTCCATATCTTGGTTGTAAAGCAGCTTGCTTTCAGCTTGTCCCCAGATCTCACTGCTTATTTAAAAAACAAAGTGCAAACCCAACCACCTGGTATATAAATAAGTACTCATCTTTCACTTCCACTTATGTTTGTTATTCTTTTAGCCTTAGAAACTTCATGTTGTAGTTCGCTCTGTTGCTGATTCCTTCAGCAAGAAATTCACCTTCATACCGAAATAAATTTTTTGGTTGTTTTTAAGAGTAGAGAAGGAGGAGATGAGAAGAAATGAAGCAACTAATTGAAAAGATTTGCAATTATGATCCAATCACTTCTAGTAGAGTGTAGAGCCAATGCTATTTTCTGGGCAAAGTGCATATTGGAGACAGAAAGAACTTGTCCATTCCGGTAGGTAAGCCATTAAGCAATTAATGAGGTCCTCCCCCTCTGCCCTCCCTGCTCCCATGTTAATAAAAGAGATCACTTTTCTGTAGCGCCACAGTTACCAAACTTTTCCACTTTGGAGTATAAGGGGGGGAGATGAATATCTCCAGATTGTGAAGTCAGCTTTAGCTGGTAGCAGCCAGGAAGGCAAGGAGAGGGCAGAGCAGGTCCTTGACAGGACGCTGGTTCAGTGTAGGTTGTTACTGACGTGACTGCTGGCTGTTTAAACAACGTGCTCTGTGGAAGGAAGGTGTCAGCTTCTGAGGAAGTGCTGAGATGTTACAGAATATGTAATGGGAGGCTCTTGTGTATATGGAAATTTTCTGTATGGTAACAGGCCTGCTACCACACACCAGTTAGTATGGGGAGTACTGAGCTGAAATCCTATACCCTGACCTTATATGCTAGGAGGCTGGCCAAGAGCTGGGAGAAGTTCCTGCTTATCCATAGGCAGCTGGTGAAATGGAAAGTGAAAAACAGCAGCAAAACAAACTTGTTGGCATGGGGACGTATAAACAGAGTCGGGACCCTACATGGGAATGCTCCAGAGAAAGAAGAGGAGTGAGCAATGTAGCTGTGGGACAGCCACTGGTGAGAGCAGCTGGGCTGCAGTAATTTTTGTTCTGCACCACATCACATAACTCAGATTTCTTGGGCTGACAATACATCAAAAGTGGCTGAAAAAAACTGAAGGCAAAGATATGTGAAGAATTTGTGAGGTATTTTTTGATCAGCTTGTTCACATCTTGTGCTGTTACATAAAGGCTAATGGAAAGTGTGAGTCCTATTGCACAATTTGTGTGTGAGGAGGGATGCAGTGGGATGTCCATATACACCTTCCCACTCAGATTCCTTCTTTAATTCACACTTCAGTGGGAACTAGGGAGGAAGTACCACTGGTAATTAAAAGAAGAAAGAAAGGAAAAAAAGCTTATTAATCTGTGCAGAGCAGGAACTCTCCTAATTTCTTCTTTTAGGGTGTGCAGGCACTTTGCTAAACCTAGCAAATGCTTGCCTTCCTTTGGTGAAGGGGTCCTGGACAGCCCTTTCAGCCCAGGAGGGCACTGGCAGAGCAGTCAGAGCCCGGCTGCGGGTCCGAAGGTCCAATTCCCATTGGGGGGAGCACAACCACCTTAAGCTCGTTGTGCTTCATTTACATGTAGGGATCCCTGTATCTGTAGGAAATGTGCCAGCAGAGAAGAGAAACTGTGAACCTCATTTTCAGAAGGAGTGACAGCCATATAAACTTCATCCTGGGCAATTTGCCTGTAAGTTGGAGTCAGCACAGTCTTGGGAGTGCATTAGCCAGCACGCTTTGTGACTGTCATTTATGCTCTGCAAACACTCAGGTGTCTGAGCAGGGCTCAGCCCTCCTCCACCTTATCTCCTCTTTAGGGGATCCCTTCTCCACATTGCTCCTCACAGGCTGTCAGAGGCACTCTGGCTTTGTTGCGTGGCCGTGTGCCACTGGCTTGGTGACGCTCCCGGAGCATCTGTCCCTAATAGGGCTGACAGCCGCGGGGCCGTATGTCATCGCTGCCATAAGCCTTCCCCCCCTCCCTGGGGGCTGTGGAGCTGCGGGGCAGCGGCAGCAGCGACTCAGGCCGGCGTCTCCCCGCCCTTCAGCTGGGGGCTGCTGACCCTGTGGAGGGGCCCCCACCGGGTGAGTACCAGGGCTGCAGGTGTCTTTGTGCAGTGGAAACGATGGCCCTGCCTGGGCAGGAGGACTACGTGTTTGCCTACCGCGACTCATCGCACCCTGCGTGCCTGCTGGACGCGTTCCGGTCGTTCTACCTAGACGGGTTATTCACTGACATCGCGCTTCAGGCCGCTTCGGGGGTCCTGCTGCATTGCCACAGAGCCGTCCTGGCGGCTTGCAGCTGTTATTTCAGAGCCATGTTCACAGCCGATATGAAAGAGAAATCTAAAAACCAGATCAGGCTTCCTGAGCTCAGCCACGCCGTGCTGGAAGCCCTTGTGAATTATGCGTACACCTCCCAGATCCAAATAACAAAGAGAAACGTGCAAAGCCTGCTGCAGGCGGCTGATCTCCTCCAGTTTGTCTCAGTTAAGAGAGCCTGTGAGCAGTTTCTGGTCAGGCACCTGGATGCTGACAACTGCCTTGGGATGCATGCTTTTGCTGAGCACCACAGTTGTCTGGAACTGGAAAAGGAGTCCCGGAGGATGTTGCTGTGGCAGTTTGAAGAAGTGTGGAAGCAGGAGGAGTTCCTGGATGTTAGCAAGGAGAAGCTGGCTTTCATCCTCTCCAGAGAGAACCTCAATGTCTGGAAAGAAGAGGCAGCTGTCGGAGCTGTTGTTAGGTGGGTTGCTCACAATGTAGAGGAAAGAATTGAAGACATCTATGAACTGCTGAGCTGCATCAAACTAGACCTAGATAACATGTATTTGAGGTCAGCTTTAAGCCTGCAAAAAAAATGCCGACTTAATGATAATAAGATAAGGTCCCTCGTGTACAGGGCCCTAAACCCCAGTCCCAAAGGCCTTTCCAAAACACCAACGGCCACCATGTATGTGGTTGGAGGATATTATTGGCATCCCTTATCAGAAGTGCATGTTTGGGATCCTTTAACTAACGCATGGCTCCCAGGAGCAGAAATGCCGGATCACACTCGAGAGAGCTATGGGGTCACAAGCCTGGGGCCAGACATATATGTGACAGGAGGCTACAGAACAGAGAGCATCGAAGCCCTGGATACTGTGTGGATATATAACAGTGAGCGGGATGAGTGGGCACAGGGCTGCCCCATGCTTGATGCGAGATACTACCACTGTGCAGTGTCCCTGAGCGGCTGCATCTACGCACTGGGTGGCTACCGGAAGGGAGCTCCGGTGCAAGAAGCTGAGTTCTATGATCCCTTGAAAAAGAAATGGGTTCCTATTGCAAACATGATCAAAGGTATGTAAGCTCTCATGAGGCATCAGCCTCAATGTCAGTCCTCTTGTGTTTGCCACTGAGAAGTGCCACAGATACATTCAGGACTAGAGCCTAGTTGAGTTCAGAGGGATTGTCCCATTGATGTCAGGAGGCTTTGGTTCAGGTCTGTATGGGCCAAGCTGCTACAAACACCCAATGGCTGCACTGCGCTGTGCCGTCGGGCACAGAGTGGACAAGCAAATGGCAGTGCCATTTAAGTCTGTCTTCCTTCAGGAGATAAATTTCTATTTGAGTTGGAAAGAAGTTAGAACGCTGCCTGGGATTAGAGTCTGTTCAGCAGGTCTCAAAAAGTGAGCTCCAGTAAAGGGACTATGCTAGTTTGGTATAAGGCCTGATGGTTTTCTGTACAGTTTATTTATAAGTGTGTCTTCATTTAAGACATCTTGCATGCAGCTTTCTCATATTCCAGAGTATCACCTGTTCAGGATCCTTAGTTAAATCTTTGGAGTAAGGATAATGAAAAGCACAGATACCTATTTTTAGCAGCCAAAATAGTGACCTACTGAAAATACATGCGCTTGGAGAACAACCTAACTAATGGATATTATTTTGTTATAAAGCATATAAACGATCATACATCTTATACACTTTTACAACTTAATGTAATTATTTACTATTTGTTATGAAATATTTTAAAAGATTTTACTGTAAATTGTTGCAAAGCAATTTTTTTCAGAGATTTTGAGGTGTTTAACAGGAGAAAAACACTTACTGTGCTCATGCTACTGTTTCTTCAATGTTCACATATCTCCTACAAATATTATTAGTCATTTTTAATTTAAAATTACGAATGCTACACTAATACTGCAAGCAGATATTCACACCCATTTTCTGTGTGAAACTTTCTAGACGCTTAAAAACACACCAACATGCTAGTTTTTGTCCATGTTATCTTGCAGAGCTGTTTTATTTTTGTTTTGTTCTCCCAGAGACAGAGCTATCACAGCTACATTCCGTTTGTGTCCTTCTTTGTATAATAGCATTGCTAATAATAAAAGAAAGACTCAAAATATCAGGAAAAATATGCTGAGACACTGAGTAATCTCAGCTTCCATTGACTTTGTCCTTGCCACATATGTGACACTTAAAAATGAGTTAAGCCTAGTGGAAGTAATTCCCTGTTCCAAAGCCAGTGTTACCATGCCCTTAGTGATGCATAAAAATTGTGATCTTTCTTTGTGGCCATGTTATGTGCAATACACGGCAGTTACTGCAATTTTATTTAATTGTTTGTGACTTATCCTGCTAAAATAAGATGTCTTGGCAGTTTATTTAATTTCACATTCACTTAAATACTTGCAAGCATAGTTTCATCCTAAAACACTAGTTAACAAGCTATTTAAATTGGGGTTTTTGATGTAAGTGCCGTTGGGTACTGTGTGTGGTCTGAAGGTGTGTTGTGATGTTGTACTGCGCAGGTGTTGGGAATGCCACTGCCTGTGTCCTGCACGAAGTCATCTACGTAACCGGCGGTCATTATGGCTACAGGGGAAGCTGCACCTATGATAAGATCCAGAGATACCATTCGGGTAGCAATGAGTGGAGCATCGTCACCACAAGTCCACATCCAGGTAAACAACAAGCTCTGGAATGTGATGTTTTTGTTCCAAACTGGGGGCTTTTAAACCCCCTTGAGTGTTCTGACTGAAAGGAAGGTATCCAGTAGGGCAGTGATGTCCAGAGTGGATGCTTGACCATTTACCAGGGGAAAGCCCTTCTTACAAGCATATGCTGTATGGAAATCACTCCATAAACATTTGGCTGAGGAGTGGCTACAATTTATTAAGTATGATAGCAAGCTAGCTTTCCATAAAATCTGTCTGTTCATGGACATTTGGCAAAGATCTATGCTTTTTAAAAGGATTTTCTTTATTTCCTAGATTTGGTAACAGTAAGTTTCTAAAGAGATTATCAGTGCATACTGCTGCTTTCCTATGTGTGCTTTGTAACACCTTGGGCTTGCTCTGACCATGGGTAGCAGAAATCCTTGAGGTGCCCCCTCAGCTCACTGAGGACCCTTAGCTGATCTGTGTGTGCCCCGTGTTTGTTATGTCAGTTAATGTTATCGTGCTGAGTTGAACCGTGTTCCTTTCTTCCTGAAGAATATGGACTGTGTTCAATCACATTGCAAAACAAGATCTATTTTGTGGGTGGACAGACCACGATCACAGACTGCTACGACCCAGAGCAGGATGAGTGGAAGCAGATGGCTCACATGTTGGAACGGAGAATGGAGTGTGGCGCGGTGGTGATGAACGGGTGCATCTATGTGACAGGAGGATATTCCTATTCCAAAGGAACGTATCTGCAGAGTATTGAGAAATTCAACCCTGAACTAAACATTTGGGAAGCAGTAGGCAACCTTCCCAGCGCCATGCGTTCACATGGCTGTGTCTGTGTGTATAATGTGTAAGCATTAGATTTTCACAGTGCTGGTGAAGAAAACAGATGCAATATTCCTAATGGTACTGCCCTTTCTTCTTGGAAATAAGCTTGGGTTTTATTGGATTGGTCAGGTATGATCCAAGGAGGTGAACTCTGAGTTCACTGCATTTTTTTTATCCTAATCATAAATATTTTCAACGTTTTTATTATTTCAAAGCTCATGTTTTCGTATTGAAAAACACGACGACGGGAGCAGCTGCTTGTAGCTGGCCTCGACGTTCTTGCGCCACATCTCCCACCCCTGTGAGCTGCAGCTCGGTGCGGGGCTACGACCCAGGCTGGAAGCGGCAGTGCCTGCCAGCACCGTTCCGTCAGCTCCCGGACACGGCGTGTTGGCTCTGAGGAAAGCCGGGGCGGTTTTGGGGCTGCAGCGCAGCGCTGGGGCCCGGTCTGCTGCTGCGAGAGGAACCTCGGGGCTTGGAGAGCGGTGCGGCATCTGCCGTGACTTCTGACAAGCCCTCAGGGCTTAGAGATTCGTGAATGCGTTAAACAGAGTGTAAAAGTTCAAGGACTTTATTGCTACCGGTGCTGCTTTTTGTACGGTGACCTGCGCCGCCAGTTGAACGGGCTCCTCAGCCCCTGACGCGTTTTAGCGGCGAGCTGCACGCGGGCGGCCATTGCGCTCTTGGCCCTGTCCGGGGACGGCGATCCTTTGACTGTTCCATTGGCGAACTGAAGGAACGGCACGTAAGCTGAATCGATGAACTCGCTGCTCTTTATTAAAGCTTTTATCCACGTGACAGCGGTATTTATAGCACCGTTAGCATCTTCAACGCAAGCGTATTCGAATGCTTGCAATTTCCAATAGCCGCAGTTACAACGGTCGGCAACCCGCCTCCAGACGCCATTTCCGGTAGCGGCCCCGCCCCGGAAGCGGCACCCACGTGAGGGCGGCGGTGGCTGCTGGGCACGCGGCGCAGCCTGCAGCCTTTCAAGCGGCGGAGCGGTGCCGCGTGCGGTCTGAGCCGGGCCAAGCGGCGCAGGTGGGAATGCGGGCGGCGAGGCGTGAGGGCGACTCCGCGCGGGGACGGCTCTGGGCGGGTGATGGGGACCGCGCGAGGGGGCCGGGGCCGCCGGCCGTTCCGGGCCGCGCTTCCCGCGCTTCTCGCTGCCGGGCCGTCCGGGAAAGGAGGCCGGGAGCGCGGGGCCGGGCGGATGGTGCCGCCGCCCGCATCCGCCGCGCAGGGCACGCGCTGCCCGCTACTTGTCGGCGTCCCGCGCCGCACCCCTGTGTGCCCGCGGGTGTCGGCACATGGCGAGCGGCAGAGCCGTGCCCCGCGGAACCGCCGCTGCGGGGCGGCCCGGGAGCGGTGCTTCTCGCATCTACTGCTCGGCACGACGAATTCTACTTCGCGCCCGTCCTGCTCTCGCGCGCTGCTGCGGCGGTCCTTGTGTGCGGCGGACGGAGCGGCCTCTGGCACTGCACGGCTCGGCGCTACCGGCCTGGGTGCCGTGCCCAGGAGTAAAACTTTCTCGGTTCTAAGGCTTCATCTCAAGGGCTTGCCGTAGTCCTCCGTTGCTTTAAGCTTCCTTGTGGGATGTTTTTGTGCCCCGAAGCGCTATCGAGGAGGTAGGATTTGCTCTGCTCTTCTTGGCAGCGGAGCGGGGCCTCTGCCCGAGGCGCGCTGGGGGAGCTGGGCTCCCAGAGCGGGCGGCGGGGCTGCGGAGTGGCCGTGAAGGACGAGAGGGAGCGCGTTAAGGCGAGAGCCCGTTTTTCCATAACGCTGCACGGCACTCCTACCGCAGCGGTTCTTAATGGCCTCTGCGGTACCCAGTGGTAAAAACAGGAGTGCCTGCGTGGTTCGGAAGGGATGTTTCTTGGGGGGGGAGGGGGGTTACAAGAGCCAGGCTGCCCCCAGCAGACTGAAAGGGAGTTCTCCCTAAATGACAAAACTGAAGCATAACAGCTGGCTTTGCTGAGCGCTTCTGTCACCCTGTCACTTCAGATGCTGCCTCTGCTCATTCCTCTCTTGCGCAGCACTGCCTAGTGGCCTAAAGGACCCCTGATCTTATTTTAACAGAGACTTGTATGAAGGGTACCATTTGGTACTGTAAAACCAAACAAGAGCAGCTGAAGGGACAGACTGGTGTAGCCTGGCTGCATCTCACCCCGAGCGGATCTTGTAGCAGCTGCCTCTGCCTGGCCTTTTCCTACTGTCCTGCTGGATGCTGCCAGCTGTGAGCTGATGGTGCATGGTTCCTCTCCTCAGTTCAGTGTAGGTGCGACTGCACATTTTCTCTTTGTGCTGGGGTTTCTTTAAAAAAGATACATAGTTAAATTCCATCATATTATTTTTTCCCCTCAGAATATGCAAGACAGTAACATTTTCCATAGCTCCTAGTAGGTAGTATGTTATCTTAAATAATTGAGCTGTATTGTGAAAAGCATCTGCAGGCCAGTGGTTCACTTAAAAGATTGCATAGTGCTTAACAAAATCAGCCATGTTGGAGAAGAGCCATAGCAATGTGTGCTAAGTCACCTTCCCCAGACAGGCATTCCTGGTTTTCGTGGTCTCTTGATCTCCCAGCCCCACCAGCCCTGTCAAGGTGTCTCTGAGAACCTGTAACAAGTTAGTGATAAAATGAATCAAGTGGAACAGTGCTTCAGTGGGTTGGCCTTCCGTGGATAAGGTGCTGCAAAGGCACATGATGTATGGTTAATTAGTTGAAAAAGCTGAGTCTATTCTGTAAGCTGACAATAAATTCAACAAGGTTAGGTAGTATCAGAAACTTATTTGGGAGTAAGGTGCCAGGGACAACAGCATGGGGGAGTGTAATAATGATGGCACCTGAGTGAGGTGGTGAACTGATGGGTTTGCTGGAATTGGGCTGCCTGCTGTGGGACATCTCTGAAATGACTGCAACCGTGAGCCAGCAGATTGTGGCCTGAATTTCTGCAGAGTACTTTATGGATGGATGATGCTTTGAGCATGGCTGTTAATTAACACTTGGTAAAATCATACTTTTCAAAGTGTCCCAGCATTTAGGTACAGGTGGAAGCACAGTAGTGGAGACTAGGATGTGCAAGACTGGAATGCAAACCCATCTTCACCTGCAGTCCTGATGTTCACTGACTGAACACTGGGGAAACTGAAGGCTGTGAATCTGCTTTATCTTCTGCAGCTGGGTTTGATGAGTGTAATAAAAGCCCAAAGGGAGAAACTCAAAATCTGTGCTTCGATTTTCAAAGCTGAATTCAGGCTGATTTCTGACACCTTTACAAACCCACATTTTTCCTCATTCTTTCCTTGAGAAGTGTTTACACTTACTGGAAATAGCAAACAAATCTTGTTAGAGATGTTTTGCCTAGCTGTGAGGCCTTGGGTTTGATTTGACAAATGTTAGTTATTATTGGCTCAAATCTATTGCTGTGGATCTGTGACTAGAAAAAAGGTAAATACTGTCAATCTTGAATGTAGAATGCAAAAAACTGAAATACTGAAGTATTTTATTTGTTTGTTAATTGTTCCAGTTTCCACCTGGAAGTTCTGTGGTCACGTTTAGAGCTGATTCACAAAAATAAAGGCAGCTGAAGATCTTGTAGAGACTGCAATTAAATGCAGCGCTACAGAAAAGCTCTTAGTATTTAGTGACTTTGCTCTGATTTCTCTTCAACACAGCTGGTGAAAATGGCTGAAAATGGAGATGGTGAAAACATGTCTATCTTGGAGAGCAAAATCTGTCAGCAAATTGAGGTGAGTTCAATTTATAGTTTGGGACCTGAACTGAAATGTAGTTTTTGGAGACCTTAATTGGTAGGGACTTGGCTAATGGGAAGTTGTGCATCAGTAAACAACTTATTACTGTGTTTGTTGGGGTTATTCTTTGCATGCAAATAGGAAGATACATTTTAATTCAGTGTGGCTTAATTGTGGGGGAAAAATCCTGTTTGGGAATCTGTGCTGTTCAAACTATTAGCAAGCTGCATAATTTGCTATTATGATTTACTTTTGGAAGTGTCACATTAAAGCAGGAAGTAATAATATGAGAATTCCAATAAAAATAACAATTAGAATCTTGAACATTTTCATCCACTGCTGTAAATTATCTAACAGAAAAGAGCTTTTGAAGTGTGAACATTCCAAAACAAATATTTCTTTTTTTGCAGTACTATTTTGGCAATCACAACCTACCAAGAGACAAGTTCCTAAAGGAACAGATCAAATTAGATGATGGTTGGGTGCCTTTGGAAGTAATGATCAAATTCAACAGGTAAAGCAAAGTACATCTAATTTGGATAGAAGGGTAATTTTCAGCTACTAAAATCTGTTTTGGTGGCCAAATGTGTCTGTTCTGCACATGCATTTCCTCTTGCTGTTTCAACATTTGGCTTCAGCTTCTCCCTGTGTATTTTTCATAACCTGCATCTCCTTACTCGATAGGTTAAGTCGCCTTTCGAAAGATTTTGGTGTTATAGTAGAAGCACTAAGAAAATCCAAGACTGGTCTAATGGAAATAAATGAAGACAAAACTAAAATCAGAAGATCTCCAAATAAACCCCTTCCTGAATTAAACGACCAATACAAAGCTGCAATTAAAAACAGATCTGTATATGTTGTAAGTAAGCTTCTTCCTTTGCTCTGAGCTATTCTGGGTGGCTTTGACTGAAAAGCATCTAACCAAAATCAACTTGAGTTAACTCATAGTAGATAGTCGGGGTTATTTCTGGTGAGGTATTACAGTTTGTTGCATACAATTGAAGCTTTGTGCTGTTTTACAGAAAGGCTTTCCATTAGATGCAACTCTCGATGATATCAAAGAATGGCTGGAGGATAAAGGTCCAGTTGAAAACATTCAAATGAGGAGAACACTGCAGAAAACATTCAAGGTAGCTCTTGCAATCAACAGTTAGACCTGGGGCAGGGATGCCTTGTGCAGTACATTTTGTTAAATTATTCTAAAATTAAATGTATCTTACTCAACAGGGGTCAATATTTGCAGTGTTTGATAGTGTTGAATCTGCCAAGA